TCAGGCGTGGAATGTCCTGGCCCTCGATGGAAGCAACTGGCAGAAGATTGACTTGTTCAACTTCCAGACCGACATAGAGGTGAGAGAGGGACGTCTCTGTGTACGAAAGGAGAAGAATACAAGACAGTGATGTGTTGGAAAAGACAGACAGTGTTTCTGTGTCGGCCCGTCAGTGTGCTGCTGGAGTGTCCGTGTATTTATACAGTGTTGTTGAGAAGGATCGGTGGCTGACTGGGACATCACAGCTGGACCCTTCTCTTCCCTGTCCTCCCACCTGACTAACATCAGTGTTGTCTCTGTGTCCCTCAGGGCCGGGTGGTGGAGAACATTTCCAAGCGTTGCGGAGGCTTCCTGAGGCAGCTGAGCCTCAGAGGCTGCCTCAGCGTCGGAGACGCTTCCATGAAGTGAGCGTTCCATTGTCTGCCCTGACATTCACACACTGACCGCTAATTACATTGTGGTTTTGCACTGGCTCTTAATGAAAACCATTGTGGTGCCTGTTTGTTTGCTGTTTGCTGCTTTAATGGTTCCGCTGTGTCGGACTCACGTGACTTTATTTTAAATTAAAGCCACTTCAGCTGCTTCAGCCCCCGCTGGGACGCTGCACTAGGAACTCTTTGATTCCATTTAGAATCATTTACAGTGTAGATACCACCTCCCACCAAACAAACAGAAACAAAAGACTAAACAGATCCATATCCCCACTCTCTCTATATATATAAAAACAGCACACAGTTGTACAACAACATCCCAGGGGCCTGTGGATGACTCTGTTAATTGGTTCCCCAGCAGCTTCCCACATCCAGCTTCTTATTTATTCAATGAAGCCGCTCTTGTGTAATTCCCCGCCTGCCTCTCCACTGCTCCACTGTTTCCCAGGACATTTGCACAGAACTGCAGGAACATCGAAGTGTTGAACTTGAACGGCTGCACCAAGATCACAGACAGCACCTGCCTGAGCCTCAGCAAGTTTTGCGCCAAGCTCAAGCATCTGGATCTCACTTCCTGTGTGTCCGTCAGCAACCACTCCCTCAAGGCTCTCAGGTAGCACTCACAAGATTAACCCTTTACACACTTGCTTTTCCACACCATTAAATCCCTGCTACTTTTGTTTTGAATCAAGAATAATTGTAATGAACAGTCTGACTTTTAGTGACCATTACAGTTCAACCCCGTGCATGATGATCATTTTTAGATGTATGATCCTCTTAACTCATTACCATATGTCAACTTAGGACATCATGACCAGTCTTTATAAATCCAGAACAGAAGTTTATCTCCTCAACTTTGACCACAGAGCTGCAGCATCTTGTGTGTGTTTTGGGTCAGTGTGAACGTTGGAGTTCTGACAGTAAAGCCCTTAATGGGCTGTAAGCACTTAACTGTGGAAAGGAAAAACCTCAGCTCTAGTTCTGCACTAGTTCCAATCAAGTGACGACATGTGGGCTGGGCTTCAAGTTATACCTCTGATAAAGTAAGAGATTATTTCTCGTTACTTCTGTATATTCTGGCTCACCAGTACAGCTGAGATACTGGAGGTCAAGTAAACAGTCAAAGAACAGACTGTCGACTTATTATGACTCTGCTTGGAGTAAAAACAACTGTGTTGTTGCCCTGTTTGTAAAACCTTTATTTGATTTAATTATGGACAATGTGTGTGTGTGTGTTTTTATTTTGGTTTTTTTGTTCTTAGCGATGGCTGCAAAATGCTGGAGATGTTGAACCTGTCGTGGTGTGACCAGATCACACGTGACGGCATTGAGGCTCTGGCGCGAGGCTGTGCCGGTTTACGAGCTCTGTTTCTCAGAGGCTGCACACAGGTACAGGGTACACGCTGCACACTGCACAGTACTGCATACACATATTCAGAGTTTTGAAGAAGTAAGTAGTGCTTTTTAAAAACAAACCTAAACCTTTGTACTGGCTAGAACACTGGAATAAACCATTTACTATTACTGTTTCTGGTCTGTTCTGTTCGTACGCAGCTGGACGACGGAGCGTTGAAACACCTTCAGAAACACTGCCCAGAACTCACAACCATAAACATTCAGTCTTGCATAGTAAGAACAGTGTTTGATGGTGTACAGTGACTCAGTTTGACCCTGGCCGCTCTTCTCTTCATTTATTGATTCAGCGTCGTCTTTTCCCCTGCAGCAAATCACAGATGACGGACTGGTCAGTCTGTGCCGAGGATGCCACAAGCTGCAGATTCTGTGTGTGTCGGGCTGCAGTAACATCACTGATGCCTCTCTAACTGCACTGGGACTCAACTGTCCCCAACTGAAGTATGAGAAACACACAGTGACACAGTTCTTCCTCACAATATGCTTCTCCAGGATTTGTTTTGTTTTCACAAATCGCAAGATTCTGAAGATTTGCGTTACTGCCAAGCACAGCTCTTCTGTTTATTTTTCTGTTGTTAAATACACTATGAGTCGTAGGAGTCCAACGGTTTTTCAAGTTAAACATCACACCAACTCTGCTGTGTGTGTGTGATTTTAGAATTCTTGAAGCTGCACGATGCTCCCAGGTCACAGACGCTGGGTTCACAGTGTTGGCCAGGGTGGGTATCGTTCTTTTAATCTCTGAATCTTTGTTCCTCCAGCTGACACTCAGCCTACAGCCTGTGATGTGGGTTCAACCTAATGCCGTCTGTTCTCTCTGCAGAATTGTCACGAACTTGAAAAAATGGACTTAGAAGAATGTATTTTGGTGAGAGAATAATCTGTGTTCACCCCCGACATCATACACATGGTATTCATTCATACTGAAGGATGTTTGTTTTGTGTAAGGATAACAGTGTGAAGAAACACAGATGGTGTGAAAAATAACAGTTTTCTTCTGCCAATTTGAGGGAAGAGCAATGATTGACAGAAAGTCTTAAATCAGGGGTCCTCAACCCTCAAAAGGTTATGGGGTCGCTGCCTTAAATCACATATGAAATACATGTTGCCTTTTCTGTAAGATGAAGCCAATGCTACACAATACAGAGCAAATTTCAGAATAAATTGCGAGAGTTAGTCCTCTTGTTTGTTTTTTAAAACTCATTAGTGTTCTCTCACCAGGTGACAGATAACACCTTGGTTCAACTGTCCATCCACTGCCCTCGTCTGCAGGCACTGGTAAACGCTCACACCTGCAGCTCTGTCCATATGTCCATGTTCCTTCTTTCTGCTTGTGGAGCTTTAATCCATTCATTTCTCTGTGGTTCCTCATCCCTGGTCACTCTACCCTGACCAGTCCCTTTCCCACTGCGAGCTGATCACAGATGATGGCATCAGAGCTCTGAGCAGCAGCACCTGTGGCCAAGAGCGCCTCACTGTGGTGGAGCTGGACAATTGCCCTCTCATCACCGACGTTACCCTGGAGCACCTGAAGAGCTGCCATCGCCTGGAGCGCATAGAGCTCTACGACTGTCAGCAAGTCACCAGAGCTGGCATCAAACGCATTCGGGTCAGTGGAAAATTCTGGCGCAGCCTCTCAGAGTTATAAATCAGTGAAAATATTGAGGTTACGACACAGCGACAGGAATAAAACTGTTTATTTGCAGGCGGTCATCAAGTGTGTGGAGACTCCTTAAAAGGAGCAGATAGAGAGAAGAATTTTTATAACGTAGGGGAAAATCATTTACTACAGGAAACCAAAAATGTATCTGGGCCTGTAGTTTGTCCAACTGACTGCACAAACCTGATTGGTCCACCTCCAACTTCAGTCTTTTTAGACTGAAAAGTCTAAAAGGTGGAGGGAAAACTTTACCAGTCATTGTCATTTAGGAGTTGGAGGCTCTGTAATGGTCCAGGGCTGAATTAGAGCCAGTGGTGTTGAGCAGTAATTCAGAATTGGACCCTTTTTGGCGACGGCTTAATGGCTGGATGATCGCAGGAGTAGTCAAGAGACCGGAGACACAGGCAAACTTACATGGTTGTGTCATTATAGGTTCCTATGCTCCTCTTTAGATACTGTAGTGTTTGGTACAATGTTGTATCTTTTAAAGTAATGGACCAGTTAAGGAGGCCTCCCTGGTGTGTTGTACACTTTGTGCTTACGTCAGTAAGATTTCTGCACTGCAATCCTTTTTAGCCACATCAGTATCGTCTTGTAAAACACTTGTCTGTGCTTATGTTAATGAATAAGCAGCAGGAACACAAACAGTGAGTGACTCTGTGTTTTTTACCTAACTCTGCAAAAAAGTTAGTGAAACTCTAACTGTACGGCAGAAGTAGAGTAGGTAATTTGTCACAGAAGAAGAGTCCCGTGAACACTGTTGGCCTCGTTGCAGAATGCCGTCTTATACTGTAGTAACGAAGCTCTTTCTTAAACAGGCCCACCTTCCAGAGATCAAGGTCCACGCCTACTTTGCCCCAGTGACACCGCCTCCCTCCGTACATGGAAGTGGCCAACGTCTGTGCCGTTGCTGCATCATCCTCTGACAGTGGAGGGCCAGGGGCGGCCACCTCTGTCTACAGGTCCTGCTGCTCTGAGGATGTGTGCTGAAAATGTCATTTGAAGAGGAGGAAGACTGAAAGGAGGAGGAGGAGGAGGAGGAGAAAAAGGTGGAGGGTACTTGGATTGTGGAGGGAGAGAGGAGGGGCTGGACCCACCCGCTGCTCCTGATTCACTGATCACCACTGATCCCTGATCAGTTGAACCCACCCCTCGTCTCCCCTCTCGTTCACCAGTCAGTGTTGCAGCGAAGAAACGTGGAAGAAAGGATTCTCTCACTCTCTTTTTCCTGTCTGTGTTTCAGTCTCTTTCTGTCTGAGAACAAAACAGATTCTTAAGTCTGCTTCTCACTCTCCCAGTCCCCCTGCCCTACCACACCTGAGTGGATCGACAGGGTGGTATGTGGGGAGGTGAAGGAGCAGAGCGGTGAACGGTGGATGAATATGAATGCTTCATGTACAAACTCTTAAAAAAAAAGTATGATATTGTCATTTTGGACAACAGTACCCTTTATCTGGAGTATCATCTCAACTAGTAACATGACAACTCTGTGTGACCGTCCTGTGATACATTTTGCTTTGACCAATAGAAACAAGGCATGATGGGAGAAGAGCTGTGCTGGTGGCGCTGCAGGACTTAAAAGAATTGAATAGGGATCAGAGCCAAGATTAGGACACAAGACATTGACAATATATGTGCATCCAAGAAACTTCTGTTTATACAAAGAATGTTTTACAACAACAAAAAGAAAAAGAAATTAAACTATAAGCAAACTAACTTAATGTGTGGGGCGGGCCATGGACATTCTTTTATTTTTCATTGGTTACGGTGATTGTCTCTGCCTCTCCACCCACAGAGGACACAAAGTTAGACATTGATGAAGAGAAAAAGGAGAAACTGGACCTATGATTCATCCTCAGCAACTAAACCCACTTTGTTGATTCAGTGTGACACTAGAATGAGCAGCCCTCTGTTATGTATTGTGTAGTTCTGGTTCTGTTGGCTCAGAAGCCCAGGTACAGTCCTGTGCTTCATACTGGACAACTCCAGCATTTGTTTACACCCTTGATTTGATGGTTACCAGAGAGAAACCTGTTTACAGTGGTAGGTTTCCAATCTCACTCTAATTTGTTGCCTCAAAATCAAAACAGACGATTGAGACGCTGGTGAAAACCCACACACACACCGCTACCTTTTGACAATCACATGGATTTTAGTACTTGAAAGGTTTTAAGTTTTATTGTAACAATAATTGGCATTTTAATATTGATACATTGTTGGCTACACTGTACTGAACTGCTGTATTTGCCAGACTACAATGTAGAATATGCAGATGCAAGTTTCTGCAGCTCCCCTTTCGTCCTTGCAGGGGGTGCTATAAACACAGTTTTAGTAGCTCATGTTTATGGAGTATCCTGCTGCAACATGGTTGTTTCAGATTAATCCAGTATTCGCAGTAGGTTGAAACATTTCCAGAAAACACGTAATAGATCATGTTTGGAGAACTGGGATTACAACCGAATGTAATAGTTACACTAGGGGACATGGACATCATGTACATCTTCTGTCATCACTGCCCAGGATGATTTAAAGCTGGCCTTATCTAACAAATTGTAGAGCCCAAACTATTCACCTGAGCTGTACTTCTCCAGCAATTTCCCACACAGATGGAACCACAAATGTACATTTTAATTTATTTGGTGTTTAACAACACAATAAATAAAAATATATGTAACTCACAATACTAGGTCTCCACAGGTGAGCTGAATCTACCAACCTTTCAAATATTTAGCTTCTTCTTGGAGTTTTACTAGCACACCAGTCTTCTTAATGTGACATCTACTAAATTAGTTTTGAGAACAGCAGTTGGATTTTCTTTTTAATGCGGAGTAAATGCGGGTGCTAAATAGACACGACCCCTGCACATTTAGAAGTGGGAGAAAAATTACTGGTAGACTTATAAATATTATTTTGTTTTATGGTATATTCCTGAAATCCCTGTGTACTTTATCTTTAACTTCCTAAGTGCCCCAACTCTGGATAAATTATTCAAATTTGCAAACTTTTTGCAAAAGTTCTAATGAGATTTATATTTATTAAAATGGAGCAAATTTACAAAACAAGGTAAAAAGTACAAGTATGTGAAGTAAGGGGAATTTTATTCAACACCAAGCAGTAGCATCACTATATTTCTTTTGTCATGCAAAGTAATCTATTGGGCACATAATACCATAAATGGCAAACTAAATTAAAGCATTTTACAGTGAACTGACTGGCATGTGCTCAAGGACCGGAGAGTTCTACAAGATGATAAACAATAGACAAAGATTAAGATGGACAACGCTGATATGACTGTCTGTGATACTAATGCCCTCTCTTTGGCAATTGTTTTAACAGTTTTATGTTTATGAAAAACAAGAAAGTAAAAAAACAAATAAATGAATAAATAAACTAATAAATAAATAAAAGTGACTAATAGTAAATGTGTTTATCTGTGTGGATTTTGTCTTCTGTTTCTGACAAAAACTGCGGCAAATTGCAGACGTTACAGTTATTTTGCCGCTAGGTGTCATAAAAGAGCCATTTAGACGACTGACACGCCCACACACATACAGTGGATGCTTCGTTTACAGTTAAAAAATAATTTCAACACATAGGCAGATGTAATCACAAGTGTTGTACCTCTAACGTGTTTTTTCCCAAACATAAGCAGGTTCGCTGTAAGTGTGGTTATTTAATTGTTTTTTCCTATCAGGCATCACACTGGGCATCTGTGCAGTTCCTGAAGCCCCCTCGGCCTAATCGGTGCTCCGCTGCTCCTCCTGCTGCAGTGCCCGGCAGAATCGCAGCGCTCAGCGCCTTTTATGAGAAAGAGCGGCACCAGTGATTATTGTCAAACTCTGAGGACCACGGGACTGGAGCTGTGCCTTTGTTTTGAAAGTTTGCTCCGAGTTTATCGCGGAAGGAGCAGACAGCAGGGGCTCGACGGACTTTGTAGGCCGTGGTGATGGACTAGAAGAGCGGGGAACAGTCAGGCGTTAGGCCTGTGAATGTGTGACGTTAGCTGGCTGTGCTAGCTGATTTGAAGCGCTCTGTCCTTGTTTGGGTGCCGTGCTAACTAGCTATTTTTGTTAGCATAACACAGCCAACCGGGATGCGTTAGTTTGTTTTGTTGTTGACGTGTTGAATGGACATAGTAATGTCTCGCAGCTGAACTTTCCTGAAGTTTTCAGGAAGCGATTTAACTTTGAAGTAAAGGAGAACAGGGTATGAGTAGCTCAAACTTTAGCTTTTGGTTTGGTTGGCAGTGAACTAAACAATATAACGGACTTCACTTTGATGATAAAACGTCACTTTGGCTCAGTCCACACTGCGCAGAAAACCTCTGCTCCTTCACTAGTTTAATCATCCCAATTTAATTTTCTCTCCGTTCACTGTCTCCAGTCGTCGGCCGGCTCCCGTGGCTGGCCCCTCGGCACTAAGTGCCCCATGGAGGAACATGACAACATGGACTATTTTTACCAGCAGGTAGTGCAGAAAGACGTTACCCGCAGGCTGCAGGTCGGTCAGGATCTTATTGAGTATCTGAATGAGCCTCATCGCTCCCCGGACGTTGAGCAAGACAAACCCCGACTTGATAAGACAATAGACGAGCTAACGGGATGGGTGAACTCCAGCAATTTCAAGGTGAGTGGCTTTGTCTAGTCATTCTCTAGGAGACCTCTGCAGCACTCATCCCATCGACCGGTTCCTACTGAAGGTGAGTGGCTTTGTCTAGTCATTCTCTGGGAGACCTCTGCAGCAGTCGACCGGTTCCTACTGACTATTCCATGTTAACGGTGTGGACTGTGAAAGGCATTACTTTAGTTTTGTTTCATTGCAAAACAATGGAGAACTGAGAAGCTTGGGTCATTTTTGGAAAGGTTTAGGTAAAATTATGTTATTTCCCATTTTTATGTCTAAATATAGATAAGCTAACCAGTTTACTGATGCTTTTGTGATTGTAAACAACCTATGTTTATAGGTTATTGTTAACTTATATTTATTATCTTATTTTAAAATCAGAACAAAGTAGACATAATATGACGTCTGTACTTTATGTACTGTATGCGTTGTCTGGAATAGAAACAAATGATATAACATACAAAGTGTACTGCAAGTGGTGTGAAAACGGCTGGATAACACTGAAATGTCTAGTTTTTATGCGAATTTTCCCACCAATCAGATTAAATAGACATACTTGGTATAAAATAGTCTGTCATTGTGAAGATACGTTATGTTTGAAAAAAGTGTTCTTTCTAATATTTTGTCTACAACATCTTTCAACACTAGGTACCAGGTCATAAGGTCAGAAATGATCTTGTCACAAATATTGCACCTCTTTCTCTCTTGGTCAGCCGGTGTGAACCTTGTTGCCATTTTTCTAAGTCAACCCAGTTAGGTATTCGACTCCTGTATCACCAAAACTTAACATGTTCTAACCTTCAAAATAGTGGCAGCGCAGGACTTGTGCAATGCATTCCTGTGGCTTTTGGGTTTCTACGTAGTTGTTTTGAGTGTTTGCGAGTGTTATTAATAAGCCAACCCATTGTCAGTACTGTAGGCCACTGGAGGACTGAACTGGGAGGCGTCAGAGAAGTTATTGTGGTGACTTAAGCTCACCCTGTCATACTCTTGTCTCTTCTCACCCTCTCAATCTCTCCCCATGTTCACCATGGATTTCCTGGTTTTTGTCGACCCGTTCATTGTGTGTTAATGTACTTGTTTATTGCCTTTGCAGTTTGTTGTGCTGAAATGCAACATTTTTTTGAAAATATAACACAGATCCCAAAGGCATGTAGACAGTGTGAAATCTCTTTTCCAGACGCAAGGAAATTCGACTCCCACATTTCTTTTTAATCTAATCAACAGCATTTGCTCAGATTTGCAGGAATCAGCAAGTATGCTGCATGGAAATGATACATTCTGCATAATAAAAGCACACTTAACCTCCTAAGAGCAAATTTGCCACCTCTTTTAAAATAATGGCCGAAATTCTAAAATAGAGGCTCTCATTTGTTGTTTACATATAGATGTATAAATGATTTTCTGTCCGATAGCTTGGAAGTCTGTAAAGATCTAGTACTTCTGCGACTTCAGTGTTAAAATATAGTCAACAGTGATCTACGATTGCACATCTTTTCTTGACATGTCAAGTATTTGATTGTCCATCATCACCTGGCCATAAACACAGCTACTTAACTAACCATGTCCCACGAATATAAGTTGGTAAATTCAAGTATAGACTCATCTTTATTTACGTGTTAAGAGCTGGAAAATGAAACAGCAACATTTGTCCAGCAACTACTGCTAAAAATGGAGGAGATAAAGGATGAAAAAATAGCATTTTCCCCCAGGTTTCGTTTCCAGTTATGTAAAACCCGTGTGCATTGCAGAGTCATTTGATCCAGGAGTGGATCCAGATTTTACACATTGCTCTTTGTGAGACAGCCGTTTAATATGATGTGATACTGATGTTACAACGTAAGAATACTTTCTCAGTGTCTAGGTTCATTTATACTCACCTTCAGAATCTACTGTATATAAAGTGATGATTAATTATATTGAGAAAGTTGGAAGCTTCCAGTGTTAATCTGAAAGATCTTTGACACCGTCATTGGATCCTTATTGTTTCAAATGAAAAGGCATCACATCGCAGCCACTATTTAGTTCTCTATAGTAGTCAAACGTTTGTCTGTTCAGATTTGCTCTTTTGTGCAGACGACACAAACACACAATGATACCTGATATCAGATCACTATCTGCTCTGTGTTATTGAGTTTTCTCCACTCTCAGAGGCCGTCACATGACAGGCGTTTGGTGATGGTGATTTGTTCCTCGTTGAGCAGGAAGGAGGAGTGAACTGTACTAAGGATGCTGCATCAGCACACAGGGAGGAAGGAGACATGAGACGAAACGATGCAGAGTTGACAGAGAAAGGAGAACTGGAGTGATACAGAGCAGAGTGGAAAACACACGTCACAAAACACTAAAATAAAACTATTGTTCAGGCTGCTCGTACTGATCTTCCTCTTTTAAGATGACATAAAGTGCAGTATGTTGGATGTCTTCCTCTGTGCTTCGCCTTCATGGCCTTGGCAGAGTCTGAGATTTTGTTGTCGTGCTGTCTGGCCTTCTTTCTCTTTCTGTTCTCTATCAGAGCTGGACTGAACTTCATTGTTTCAGTTCTCACATCATTACAGACACAGTTCTGTGGTGTATGGGAAGTTAGGCAGAGGAGTGGAGAACTTGAAGGTTTGATCTGTAGTAACAAGTGATGAAGTGTTGTCCTTTTTTTATTTCAGATCTTTTAGTCGTGTAAATACTTAGACTTTAGAACAACAGTCAGTGAGTAGATTTGCCATTCAAGTGCTTTTTACTGTCCTTTCCCTCTTCAACAATAGATCTCTTTTTCCATGTGACCTCAACACTTCCTGCAGGTGCTTTATAGTAAAATCTCAGCTGAATCTAAAATTCATTGCAGCTTTTAGTGGAAAACAGCAGAGGAAAGCATGTTTCTCCATTTACCTTTTGGACACAGTCCCATAATAGTCAGAACTAAATTAAATACACATTTTATTTAGTCAACTTTTAGATCAATATTTAATATTTACCAGTTTATCCGGCCTACTTGCCAGATGTAGGAAGTTTGATGTGACCTTTCTTGTTGTCTGCCACCCTCCACGTCCTTCACAGTGCTATTATTAAATGGGTGAAACAATGATCTGAATTTAATTTATCTGGGTCAACATGCTAATAAAAGAGGTTCGTGTTATCTGGCACTGCATAAAACAATGCCAGGCTTTTCCATTGTTTCATATGTTACACTTGAACAAACAACATCTGCTTCATGCTTGGCAAAAGATTTAACCACACATAAGCCTCCATTTTCACAGTATTAAGCCAACAGATAGATCAAGTCAGGATCTTTGGAAAACATGTCATGCTGATCAACTAATTATCAACTTATGCACAGTTAAAGCCAGTGACTAAACATAAAATTGCCACTTATTTCTACTTCATAGAATGATAGAATTCTGCACCTTTTTTATCAACTTCCCTTCCCTATACAATTTGAATTATTTTTGAGGCAAACATTGTTGAAATCACTGTGTCACAGCCTTGGTCAAGTGGCTTCTGCTCTAGATTCCTTTATTTTCCCCTCAGTGAGTATTTTTTCACTCACTTGTACTTTCTTTAAGTCCCTTTAAAATCAAGAGCGAACTGTGTACATGTTATGGGAATTACCATTCCAAGCACTACATGCAGCCCCCCCCCCCCTGTTGTCACAAAGAGCCATTCATACAGGGCTAACTACAGCGACTTTTCTAATGTTTGAGGCAAGTAGACCCATTCACCCCTGATATGGTTCTGTCCTCCAAAGAATTAAAAAAAAAACTCTGATACAATATAAGACCATTCTAGAATATATATTTTACTGGATTTTAAGCTTCCTTCTTTATGTGTCAGTTGTGAATAAACTGAAGAACATGTCACCATCATATCTCATGCGTGAAAGGATTTAAATCAGGTGACATGCCGGACCATTCATAACCCCCTCTCACTGTGTGTGTGTGTGTGATTGTTTCTCTGTTGCAGGACAGAGCACAACCAGAGAGTCTGTAGTCAGTTACTGCAACATGAGCAGAAAAAGAGGTTCCTATAAACCTCCAAATATACTGTGCACTTCCCTTCAGCGGGGGCATGATTAATGAAGATAAGTGCACAAGTATCTGGGACAGCAGTGTTCGCCCGGGCCATAATGCCAAAAACATGTTTTATACTTCCAATCATCGACACTTCATTTTTTGCCTCTAAATCTGCTCTTGTAAAAAAGTCAATACAGTTTAATCTCCTATCAGTTTCCTGCAGGGATGACTCAATGATTTGTAGACAGGATCTAAATGTGGGACACCTGACAGAACTAAAAAGGTGACCAGGCAGAACTTTAGGATCCTCTTAGATCAACACTTTTTTTTTTAATATTTCAGCCTTACATTTTGGAGTATTAAAGTCAGTGCTTTTAGATTTGCCTTTATGTATCACTACTAAAGGAATAACTGCATCTGGCATCACTGCTGAAATGGAGAAGATGAATATGGGCCTCGTTTCTGAGGTGTAACCTGCCCACTGGAGCCGTTCCCTGATTAAAACCTGTGTGCACTGCAGAGTTTGACTGGGTAGTGATTTATAATTACATCCACTAACCCTGGACAAACAACCTGTTTTTGTCCTGGATTAAAAGACATTTCTGCGTAGTGGGGATGCAGCTTCTAGATTTTGTCTTCCCAGAATTCTAAAGGGAAAATGTCAAATCGATTACTTTTCTGCGGTGGATAACAAGCACACTTGTCTCTGTTTCTATTCCTCCGACTCCACCTCTCATTTTCTCCCCATATGCAGATGCCATATGGTTGTGGGCACTAGACTTGTTGGGGTGCTGGATAAAGGAGGGGGAAGGAGGACCTGAGGGAGTTTTCCTTCCTGTAATGTTTTTTTCCCTCCTCTTCTCTTCTTGTTCCTGAATTAGGTCAGTATCAGGTAGGCACATTAGGTCTCACACAGAAAGATGCGCCTCCACACTTACTTTAATGTGTTCCGTCGCTGTTTTGTCCCTTTAAATGTACCTTTACCCCACACCTACCTGGCTGCTCTCTTCCTTTGACTAAACTGGAAAAAATGCAGCTCGTCTCACAACTCAAAGCAGCGTATACGAGTCTGGAGAGTTTTCTTTTAATGGCTTTTCTTTTTGGACTGTGCAGCTCCACCACAGCTTTGCCAAAACAAGCATTCCAGGAAGGAGCACACAGCACAGTGTGGGATGTGATCCTAATCAGAAACACAGTGGAAAACTCAGCCTCACCACGAGACGTAGAAAAAAAGAAATTCAGTCTACTTTCCCACTACAAGTCGCGTCACACAGGCCAGCATTTAATGAGAGAACAAAGTCAGGGCAGCAGAGGGAGGAGAGTGCTCTGTGTAGACATGACGTAGTGAGTGTGGCTGGATCCCAGTGGTTAGTGCTGTCGTTGACTTTGGGTGACTGATGTGTCGTAGCATCACATGGTTTTGGTGATGACGGTGAAAGCAGCACATTATGATTGACATGTCCATGTTGGTTGTTGTGCAAAATTCAGTGGTGCAACACAGATGTTTCAGGTTCTGCCTTTTACTGGGTGTTCTTAACATATAAAACTTTACTTTTTTTTAAATAATAGCTGACTTAATTGCATCAAATTAATTTTACAATTAGTTTGTATTCAATAATTTCACCCTCAACCAACTGAATAAAAAAAAAACACATCTCTGAATTTAAGGTCTGAACTGTGCTTTTTACTTGAACTTCTTCCTTTGTTTTAGGTGGCACTAATGGGGATCGAAATCTGTGGTGCGTTTGTGGACCGCTTGGGAGATCGGTTCAAAGGATACCTTGGCACAGGTGAGAGATGATTAATTGTGTGTTAATAATGAAAGCTATAAACACTCATTCTGACATACTGTATGTGTCATACTGTATATTAGACTGGTCTGCTCTATGTTCAGCTTTTGAACTTCTGCTGCCATTGCTTTGAATTCTGTTTGATTTTGGTATTTTAGCTTTACGTCACGGCACCCCTCAGACCACCCCTCGCACTCATGGTCCGATCCTCATATCAGATTACATACTCTGTCTAACCGTGCATGTCTGTGTGGCGTGTTGTGTGTTTGTGTGCTGTCAGTGCCAGCCCTTGTCTGTGCCCACTCAAAGTGTCACCAGCTGTCTTTGTCAACCACTCGGCCTCACGTCCCTAACAAACATTTTCACCCCTCGGTGCTGCTCATACTGCAGATGATGGGGTCGTTCCCACCGCGAATAAAAATCTGCTGCTGCCAAGCCATGCAAACTCTCTCTCTCTCTCTCTCTCTCTCTCTCTCTCTTGCTGTACGTTAGTGTGGAATGAAACTTTGTGTATCAGGCTGATGACAAAACCATCCTTCAGTCACCGCTGGCTCTGGAATCTCCCTCCCTCCAGCTGACTTCCAGACTTCCAACTCCTGTGCTCTTCTTCTTTGTTCACTTCACCCTTCTTCTACACACACACACACACACACACGTGCGTGCGGGCAGGCGGCAGGACAGGAAGATGAGATCATTGAAACTGAGCGACTTTATTGATCTGCAGTCCTGCTGTTAGGCCTGTGTGAGTCTGTGCACTGAAAATGACTCCAGGCTGCAGCTCATTTTCCTCACAGCTTCCACATGTGACAGAGAAATTGAATTATCACATACGTGTTAGATGAGATGGAGTGATGTGATTGGTCCGATATAGACATAATAGGTGGACAAGAAGGATGAAACAGTGAGAGACTTTCCTCTTGTAACTGTGTGTGTGTGTGTGTGTTTATATCCCAGAGAAGATGACGTTGTTTTGTGCAACAATGAACCCACTGTGAGTTTTTTCCCTGTTGATAAAAATGAATTGTCATTGTTACCAAGGCAACTGGCTGTTATGGTAACAAAATGTATGTACACATTGGTGCATGCTCACACAGAGGCAAGGACACATGACATCACAGTGTCATCCTCTGTCTGTTGTTTTATGACAGGAATGTGTTTGTGTGTGTGTCTTTGTTTGTGTGTGTGGGGGAGTTTAAAGTTGCTGACTAAGAGAGGCCATTTAAACAACTGTACTTTATAAATATGGGCTGTGTTGTAGTAAAAGGTTTCTCAGCGTTTTGTTTTTTACACAGAAACAAATCTTAAAGATGTGTAAAAAGGAACATTTTTATTAGTGATTGAAACAAGGTTTTTTCATCAAAAGCTGTTACTGTTACTCACAGCTGGAACAAATGGCTCATTTGTTGGGTGAACATTTTTAAGCCGTTAGTTTCATGCCAGTTGTACTTAGAAGGCCTGCTCTAAGCACTGCTGTTGTGACGCTTCAGGAAGAATTACTGAAGTAACTTCAAGGCTCTGCGACGGGGGGGTGGCGTCAAAGAGCAGATTTAAGTGATGTAACTGGGAGGCTGCTGTATTCGCACTGCAAAACTTTGAAAAAATGTGTGAAAACCTATTGGTTCTTGAACAATAAGGCTCTTTTTAGGTGTTTGTCGGAACCTTTAAATAACTAGCCTAGTGTGGATGCCAGTCATATTTGGAGAGGTTTGACAGCAGGTTTTGTTTTCAAAGATCAAAGATCACTTACTGAATGTGACTCTGGTGGCACGTCCACTTCAGTTCACTCCCTTCCTCAGTTTCTACATTCTGTTGGTGCCTGAGTCTGAATAATGTCATAATCATCTGTGGGAAGGGCACACACACTTACAGAGCCTTAAATCTGAGGTGACACGAGGCCACTGCAGTGAGAGACAGAGCTGCAGGTGATGGAGGTGGTTGTCCTGGGATACGTCACGTCTTCATGTCAGCTGTGAGTGACGGAGGACGGCTCAGGGTCCTTGTGTGACTTCCCAGAGGCCAGGGAAGACACAGTGGAGTTTGAAGTACACTAAATGTGTAATATACTGATATAGTACCCAAGGGCTGAATAGTAGAAACACCAAACCTTCCATTTCCATGTAAGGCACATAGAGGTTATATTGAAGTAAAATACATCAGCTGCTCATATGTGGTAAACTGTGAGCATTTATAGTTCTTTAGACGTAAGCAATACATTCAATTACAACTAATAAATACATTTTATTAGTTATTTAAAAAGACGGTAAAATGTGCAAACTGTTGGCATTTATTTTGTGGAGAAGTTACCGTTTAACAACCTGAGCATCTGCCAAAATACTCATAAATCACTTGGATTGTAGGATTTTTACAACGTCTGCAGTACTCTGCATCATCTCATGCATCAACTTTACTCCTGGATCTAACACTTAGTGTAAGATGTCAGTGGTTTGATTATGGGTGTTTCCCACAGATATCGATTTTGATGTCATTGACACGTTCTTTGTCTTTAGTCTTGCCAGCTTTAGTGGACAGAATGGGTGATGCAAAGGACCAGGTCAGGGAGAACAGTCAAGCCCTCATCCTCCGCTGCATGGAGCAGGCTGCATCCCCCATGGTGAGAAACACACACTTGACTGAAATGAACATTAAAAAGCTCACAATCTCTAAAACTTGATCTCATTTACTACAGGTTACAAAATATTTGTTAAAACAGAAGTCATTCAGGGGTCATACAGGTCCTGACATTTAAAATTATTAGCAGCTAAGAGTTGTAGTAAATGTTGTAACTGTAGTAAATTTCAATAGAGGTAAAATTTCAAGAATCAACAGCAGCAACATCACAGCCACCTCCCCTTCATCCATGATTTACTGTAGTAGAAAGGTGCCTAGCATTTGGGCTCCCTCTTCTGGATGTTTTTAGAACATCACACAAATCATCAATACTTAATGTTGTTCTACCGCACAGCTTTTCTTTAAAGGCTGTAATCTGCTCATCTGAAGAGGTTTGTTGTTCTCTGTCCTTCACTCTCACACGTACACTCTTTTCTCTCCTGTCTCCAGTATGTTTGGGAGCGGCTGGTTCCAGGCTTTAAACACAAGAACTTCCGCAGTAGAGAAGGAGTTTGTCTGTGCCTCAGTGCCACGCTCAGCACGTGAGTACCCCAACCCCCCTCTTAATCTGCATCAACCAGGCTGAATTGTGGTAAAAAAAAATGCCATCAGAATATCATACCTGAAATCCTGATTTAAACTGTAGTGGAAACATCAACTACTGGAGATTTCCTTTAACAATATGTTAGCTTTATAATGGTTGGTTGTTCTTGGTTTTTGTTTTTTTTCACCCTGTCTTGTTTCTTAAAAATACACACTCTCTTTCTCCAGGTTTAATCCTCTTAACTCTGTGCCTCTGGCCTTTATAATGTTTCATTCTTCGTGCGTACATGTGGTGATTTCCTGTGTCCCTACCTCTAATCTGCTCCTGTGTTCAGCTTTTCCCTTCATCATATATGAAGAGGTGTTTGTTCTTGTAGAATAGTAGTGTACTGCACTTGTAGGGACACTGCTGCAGAACATGCTGGAGCTGAATGTGTCATTCAACAAGACCAATGATAAATCTCGAGGACATAAATTGGACACTTTCTTGTCAGATTTCGATCTGCTTCAGCAGTTTACACAAGTGCAGCTGGTGTTTTTACAGAGGCCATCGAGTGACTGTGCTACTTTTGTCATCTTTTATTCTTGGAAAATAACACTGAGGTGCTACATACTGAGGTGTCACTGTTAGCAAGACTTGGTGTGTCACACTGTCAGCCAGATCTGCTCTGTTTCATGTGGTTCTGTGATTGAAATTGAAATTTCTTTTTATATTTGCAGTGCGACTATACGTTCTTCAGATATGACATATTCAGGCATATAGAATGACAATGTGGGGTATGAATGCAATTAGTGTTGACAACTTTATTCAATGTTTTACAAAAGAATCAAATAAATCTGGTAACACTTAAATTGAAAACAGATGGGAACAGTCTGTGAATTGGTTTGGCTTTTAATGAGGATCTAGCCAAACTACAACAACTAGTTTAACTGCTCATTTTCCAGTAAATTGGAGAGAACACTGTTAGCAAAACCACAGATTGATGCAATTGCCAAAGTATTTAGTTATCAAAGTGCAAAACAATTGCCAACGGATAAAAACTACAAAATTTTGGACTTTCTTTTGAAAAAGCTTGCTAAGAATTGTTGAAAATGAAAATTATATCTTATAAATATTAACAGATAGCCACTAAAATAGCCTCGGTCATCCTGAGAATTTCTGAAAGGCTAAGTTTGCTCTTCTAAAAATGAACCCTTTTCTTCTACTATTAACGTTGACTTAAATAATCGTCCCTATCTTTTTTTTTTTTTGGGTTTGACTTCTTTTTAGGTATGGACCACATTCACTGAGCCTCAGTAAAATAGTCCCTCACCTCTGTATTCTGACTGGAGATCAGAACCCACAGGTAAAATGCAAAACAGTTATTTAAATGTGTACAACGTGTGTGTGTTCAACTAAACCCATTCCTGCGTGTCTTCTTCTTGATCCAGTTTGAGCTGTATGTCGACTTGTGGTTTGTTTCTCTGTCCTTTGAATGTTGTGGCAGGCATCGAAATCAACCGCTGTGATTATTACTGTTATTAGCAAAGAGATGGCTTTTAAAGGCCCACGGCATGTTTCCCTGAGCGCACAACACACAGCTATTAAACCCAGATTGATTCTAACAGTGTATCTGTGTGCGTCACAGAAGGTGAGAGAGGGGCGGTGAGAGGGGTTGGTTAATGCTGCTGGAGAGTTGCACCCCAAAGCTGAAATCTGCTTCTGTCTTCCACCCAGTGATTATCTGCCCACATGCTCTTCAGACCAATCGTCAATGCCACAGACCTGCCCGCCCCCAGTTGCAGAGATGCCCTTAAAAACCATGCCACCCAATCACAGCCCTGGACACAACATAGCTAACAAATCGGATGACTCCCATCACAGTTTATTTTTCACTGCGTTAATATCCTCAACCCCCTGATCTAACTAATCCGAAGCACGGAGAAAGGTTTACAGCCTTATGGAATTATGACGGGAAATCATCCATGATCTCACTGGCTTTAACTCGTCCACGTTGACAAAACACCGTCTTAATAACCAGGACAGAATTCATTCATTTTTAAATCCAAGTGTATGTTTACCAGAGGGAGTTAAGTTGGTCGGTGAAATTGCTTTTGTTCCAAAACTACCAACTTGTCTGAAAGTGGTGTTTGTAATTCTTTTTTTTTTCCTCGCTGTCCACAGGTACGTGAGGCCGCCATAACATCACTGGTGGATGTTTATCGCTACGTCGGTGAGAGGGTCAGAGTAGACGTGGGAAAGCGAAACCTCTCAGCAGCACGGTGAGTTATCGGCCGTCCCTCGTCCTCGTCTCTCTCTCTCTCTCATGATAATGTTTTTTGGTATATGGGCTTCATCTAGCAGGGATTAGATTTTGTGGATGGTCGGTGGCTTTGGCTTGCAGTCTGTCCCAGGCCACACCATGTACAGCCCTGCCCTTCACACACAAACACACAGAGACACTTTCATCAGGAGCACAATGCTGACTGGCTGTAGGAGGGGAGGGAGGGGTGAAGCAGCCGAGAGAACTGACGAGAGCGCGTGTGTGTTTGTGTCATCAGAAGAGATCCATTGAGCCGCAGGGTCCGTCCTTGGTCGTCCCGGTTACATTTGCCCAGTAAAGGGTTATTCTGAGCAGACCGTGACCCCCAGTCTCTCTCCTCCCCTTGCCCCCCCACCCTCACCCCCCTTTTCTCCTTTTTTCCCAAGTGTGAGCTCTGAGCAGCAGCCAGTGTTGTGCTCTGACTGTTGAGTATGAGTCTTATGTCTGTGAATGCTGGCCTTAGCGGTGTGTCATGTGTTGCTCATATTAAGCCCGTCTGTCTCCAGTGTAAACTTGCTGTCTGCAGAGAAGGGATTTATATGGACGCATGTGTGTCTGCTTTGGTGGATATGTCATGTTTTGACAGATGCAGTGATTTAAATCCAACCCCAGTGTTGTCTTTTCCTTTAGTGTCATAAAGTCTATTGCTGCTGCACAGGACTTTAAGGATTCACGTGAGAAAGTACAGATTCTAATCGTGCGTTGGCAATAAAAGCATAGTGGAGGTTGTCTCTGTCAGTTTTCTGCTGTTAATACCAAATATGGTTGTTGAATGGAACATGAGCTTCAGCCCAGGTTTCGCTGTAGAGATCGTATATCAAATCTGTAGGAGTAGAAACAGATAATGTAGAAGGAGCATTGTTACAGCAAACAGGAGTGGTAGAAAAGATAACATGAAGAGAGGTGAATGACTCCAGTCTGTAGAGTTCATGTACTTGCTGTTATTGCTCTTTGTGCACTGCTTTTTTTGTGGTATTTTAAAACTGCTTTAAATCCAGCTCAGCTGCATTATATCCTTGGAATGTCTGGAACACTGCCGCTGGTTAAACCTGCACTTTTAGCAGAATAACAGGGTTCTTTGATATCCAGTCTCCCCCACTGACATTTTTTCTTTACTGTCGCAATAAACAACTTGAAACTTGATTGTTTTTGTCCATGACAGCTTATTCTTTTAGATAATTCAAACACATGATAAACGGACGAATAGACAGTTTAAAGGTTAAAGCTTTGCTCCCAAGAGTCCACGGCTTATTCCATTTATGATGGCAAGAAAGGTTTGGAAATGTTTGGTTCTCAGTTTCAGGAAATTAATGTAGCACTCTTGGATTGCATTTAGAGGAAAATAAGCGGTTTCAAATTTGTGCAACTGTGCATATGATTGGAAGCTGTAATTGACAGCAGAAAAATGAAATGCCAGCCTGGCAAAAAGACTTGGTGAAAATCCTATCTTACAATTTTTCACACTTAAATAGTGCTTTTTAACCTGGTTGGATTTGTCAATTTCTTTTATATATTCTAGATACGGATATATTCTACAGATAAGGGTCTCAAAGATTAGTGTTATTCAGTTTGGTTTAAACAACTGCATCATTTAAATGTTTTAAGTGAGCTCAGTGTGTCCAACTGAGATGTGTTTGTAATTACTGTTGCTGTCCACAGTCTCAGGTTGGTTGTTGGCGGTTATTAAATCTGAGGGGACAGTTTCCTGACAGCCAGTGAAATCCTGCTTTAATCAGTGGACAGGTATTGGACACACTTAATGCTCGAAAGGAAAATTAAAGGAGCAGCTCATCAAATTGTATGAGTCAGATCTACTGAATTTGGGAATTTAATTTTTAGTTTAATGACAGTCAACTATTTAAAAGGGATTAATAACAGGATGAAAAAGTTGGAGGTTTATAGATAATTGTTTGGTGGCACGTTGTTAAAGGATCGAGATAAACATGAAAACAACGGCAGAAATTTGAGGTGAGATGGATGGAAGAAAGGGGGGAGGAAGAGCCTTTTGCTTCTGTGCTGTGATTGTGCAGCCCCTCCCCCTCTGATTTGTGTGTGCGTCTGGGAATGAGAAGGAGGTTATGTAAAGGGTAACCAAATCTCTTTACTGGCCCACAAACTGGCCCACTTTGCCTTTCTGTTTCCCACATATTCACACGTACACTTGTTTGAGATTTAACTCCCCGTCTCACTCTGGAGATTTCTCAGTGGGTGTGTGAGTGTTACGTACAGTACGTATGTGTGACAGTAGGTGGTGCTTTGTCGCATGTCTGTACCATGCTCTGGTCTCTTCTGACCCCCTCCTCCCTCTTTCATTCTCCCTCCTCTACTCTTTTCCCCTACCTCTCAGAGCCACTGCACCACGTTTGATACAAAGAGCCGAGCGAAGCTGACGGTTTGCGTTCGTGTGTGTCAGTAGCATGGGAGCTAATGTAGCGTTGCGCAGCAACCTATTAATCAACCCAGTGGGAGATGCAGAGGCAAACGAGTGCAGAGGACTGAAGGCTATGTTATTTCTTAACCCACTGCAAGCAATAAAATGCTCCTAAAAAGAAGGGAAGCACTGGATACGCTGCACGGCTGAGCAGCAGTCATCACTCCTGAAGAGCATCTGAGCTGCCTGTTGGTTGTTGACCCGCAAAAGACAAGCAGGGACATAGAGAAAGGTGGTGTGTATGACAGCTGATCTTTGAACGTATGGCTAATGATTTTTTGAAGGAACAAAGAGAATCTGTCATGTTACCAGGTAACATAGATCATTTTTTCTGTTGTGTGCTTGTAAGTCCGACAGAGCTGCAGGGTTTGTATTTTGTCCCTGTCTTTTTTTCTTGGATCTTTTTTAAATTGTGAGACAGTGATTGTGTTTTGTGTTTGCTTGGCACTGAGCTGTTAACTGATGTTAAAATGAGCGTTGTTATTTTGGCAGCTTCATGAGTGTGTACTGAAATAAAATGTTGACACACCCACCAGTTAACATGCAGATAGAGGGACGGACGGACGGACGGACGGACAGACAGACAGTCTGTCTGTCTGTCGACATGTTGCCAATGGTCAAACTTACTTTGGCAGATCATGTGTCGTTAGGGAAAAGCTGTAGTTGTCAGTGTCAGCGTGTGTTCATCAACAAATCATTTTTATAGTTTTATTGCAGGGGTGTGTTTATTTAAATGTCACAAATGATTGTATTACTCTCATTATTTTATCGTCTCTCCCTGCGTACACATTATGCTGTGTGTTCATTCGTTGTTTAAACCTTCCTTACTCTCCTCTCCTCTGCAGGTTACAGACAATATTCACCCGTTTTGATGAAGCCTTGAATTCAGGAAACATGGCTCTCAGCCCATCTCACGGTCAGTGTCCTTCTTATTAAATTATCAGACATCAGTTTCACCTTCCAGACTCAGAAACACAAGCGAGCTTGTCCTTGTGTTGTTCAAGCCCAGAACCACGCATCCACCTGATTGTGTCATTTGTTGCCATGAGCTTCTGTAAGACGTAACAGGATTATTGGTTTAATCCTTGAATGTTTGCGATGCTTCGAGTTTTACAGTAGAACCAACGCTCTGCTTTAGGCTACCTGGAGTTTTCATTTGGATTTTCCTCTTTTTCAGAGAGCAAAACATGTCTGCTTCCTAATGTGAGGATTTAAAAAAAAAAAGAAAAATAGTAATACAGTATCCACACAAACACAGTGTGAAACTAATAGAAAGTTGGTGGATAAGAGAGAATGTCAGTGTTCATTTGATCTCTTCCAAACTGGTTTGGCTTTAAACAGTGTTTGTGTTTTTCTTTGTGCAGCAGAAACCGACACCGTGTGTATCTGAAGTATATCCTTTCACTTTATCTTTGTTTTCAACAGTGACGGTTGGATGATGACTGATCAGCTGTAGCGGCCTGTTTACTTAGATAGAGACGCAGAGAGGAGCTCAGGGCACTGTGTAGACCTAGTTGCCATGATGCAATCTCTGGTGGCACAGAAAGAATAGAAAGACTGTTGCCATGAACTCTGAACTCCTCTGAGTTTCATTTAGGACTTTTCTTTTTCTCAATCCAGGATTTTTACAAAATCAAATGAGAAATCATCCTGGTTACATCTTAGATGAGACCAGTGTTTGTTATTGCTCTGATGAAATCATTTTGGACAACTGTGTCACATTCCATTGACAAAAGTGTGCATTCCAACAGTTCATTCAGTGAGAATGATTTGTACTGTCACAGCCAAACAGGCTGTTACCAAACCACATGACACTGGGATAATAAGGTGTGACGCCTCAGAACCATGGACTGGTTTAACTGTTTGTCAGCTGACACAACAGCTAATGTATGTCCTGCTCAACCAGCCAGAGCACTTGCATCATCTGTGGTCAGGTAACCTGACCGTTCATGTTTTACCACATATTTGGACATGAGTGACTGCTCGTCCAACAGAGCTTCAGTAGATAATTGTAAATATGTTAGTGTTATTATGGTGATATTATGTTGTTGAATTCTTTGAAAGCCCTATCATTTCAGGGAATATCTGAAAACGATTTAATTTAAACTAACTTTGTAAAAGATTTAGTGTGGGTTCTTTCCTCTCGAAACAGTTGGCGCTTTCTTATACAATTTTCTGCAAAAAAAAAAAGAAAAGTAAACCTAATTTGCCTCACATTTGGCAAAAAGTCCTAGAGTGCAGTCAGTGGGTGAGGCACACACGTTTGTTACTCGATGCTCAGTAAATCCTGCAACTTTTCAGTGTCCAACCACAGGACCCACATACTGATTATAACCTCACTGATATCTGTTTTTTGAATTGGTTACTTTGCTGCTTCTTTTTTTAGCATTTCCTTTGGCAATAGTGGCAGCTGTTGTTCACAGAGGAGTGAGGGAGGGCAGAAGATTGAGGGAGGAAGCAGAGAGAGAGAGAGAGAGTGATAGAAAGAGAGTGATAGAGATCTGGCAGTAGCCAAAGCCCTGTGCCTATCACCGCCTCTCCCTAATTCATCATGACAGAGACAGAGACAGAGAGAGCTTGAACCAACCCCAGGGTAAAAGTCAGCCAAAAACAAAGAAGACAACTGAAGAGAGTCTAACTTATCCAAACTCAAGTGTTTTCCTTTGCATAACTCACTGTAATGTTGGAGGTTGAGGATGACGGTAAGTGACTTTAAGTCTCTGTTTAATCCCATCTGGCTGTGGATGCTGGCACTTGGACAAAAGCTTGTCAGCAAATGGTTTTAGATTGAAATCTGTTTTACCAACAAGAACTTTCAGCCACATGTTGGTGTGGCTCTAATAACTGCCTGTCTAAAAGAGAAATCTGAGCTGCTTCACAAGTTATTGTTTTTGTTAGTAATGATTCTGATTCTGTTATTGATATCAGTTACTGGTTTTGATTCTGTGTTAATTCTCTCTCTCATTCGGTTGGGAAATAAAATAGTACATTTAGGTTTGGTTGCATCAACTTGTCAATGCAGAGTTTGCAGGCTCCACCTCAAGAGCCATTGGCACCATCGCTACGCAGTGTATAAAAGACGCCACGTCGAGTGTCGGTAAAGTACATCCTTTATGACTAAATGTTTCTAAAACAACTTTTGTGTCTTTAATTGTGAGATGCGACCTTCAGACAGCTTCTGCCTTGACGTCAGGTTGTAAACACTCAAGAAGACTAACAGTTCTAAAGAACTTAACCTTGGCAACTAGTTCTACAAGAGCTGGTTCTCAATTCCTTTTCTTACTTCTTGTTATTGGTTTCAGTATCAAATCATGTTTTAAAGTGAATGTTCCAGGTTGGCTTTTACCTGTGAGTCAATATATTTTATTGAATTATTTGATCTTTCAGCTCCAATCATCAACTCTGATTGATAACATCATTTAACATGACTGATGAGTTCTCGTTTGTCTGGGATTATGTGAACTAAACACATCTGTGGTGTCTTCTGGTGAGAAAAGTAAAGCACATCAGTGCCACTGGATTTGACCTTCTAACCCCTCTGACTCCCGTTGTGCTTTGCTCAGTGACCATTAGCAGCAGCAGCTTTCTCTGTTTGCACAGTAGTTGAGCGTTGACGGGGACTGAAGCAGACAGGCACTCATTTCCACACTCGCAGACATCCTTGTTCCACTTTGGTGCATCTCCGCCCCTGCGAAGAGAAATCCTGACCTTGTTTCCAGGGCAGGCCGGTTGTCGTGACGAGGTTTTGTTTGAAATATTATGATTTTATCCTTTTCTGTCATTTAGAATTGGGACTAGGTTTGAGAGTGTGTGTCTGTGTGTGCTGTTTCACATTAGTGAGAGTCGTTCTATTTCTGTTACTCTTCACTCACCACTGGTAGACGTTTCTGATTATGTGGTTAGATTTTGATGATTCTTGACCTCATTTGACTGATCATCACGTAGAGACAGGAAGTTGGGTGAGAGTGGCACAAATATTCAGCAAAGATTTTTCCATCTCGACCTGAACTGGGCCTGTTGCACATGTGGTTCACATTCTAACAGGGATCTGTCTCTTTTAAATTGTGACTGAGTTTATCTCGAGATATTACCTCATCTCTGGAAAAAATAGTGACAGTGATCATACCTTTTCTGGCTCTGCAGTTACACTTAGCCTTCTTTTCTCCTGACACAAATCCTGCTCTCCTCCAGTTTACTTTGGAACAGGCATGGACTCAAGACCTTTGTCCTAGTTTTTCCGCTGCTTTTCTTGTTCTCTTTTCTCTCCAAGTGATTCCATGAACCTTTTTTTTCCTGCACACGGCCATATGTTCTTAAATAAGTCTCCATGACATGGCCTGTCACCCTGCAGCCTGAGACCAGACCCGCTCAAACACAGACCCTCCTCTGTGCTGTGGCTCCAGTTTCCCTGGCTGTCTTTTCAGTGGCTTTTTAAGAGTTTCTGTTGTACTTGACTTGATTCCCTCTGCAGCGCTTCAGGCGACGAGATCTTCCAGAAGAAGCATAACTAAATCACTTGTGTTTGTACAGCACATACAGTTTCTGGAAGATATATTTTTGTATGCATCGTAAACCATGTCACATAAACTTTCTGAGTAATGGTTTTACAAAATAAAAAATAAATCTAAGCAGAGTGCTGTTTTATACTAAAGTTCATGTAAGGGGTATCTGAAAAAGCCCATGGTTATAAATTTAACCTCCTACTCCAAAAATGGTTGCAAAATGCAACTGATTCTTTGCATTTTGCAGCACTGATAAATGACAAGTATTTGCACTTTAAAGCTGTAGTCTGTAAAGTCACTGACACACAGAACCACAAACTCTAGTCTTTACAACATCTTGCTGCTGGTTCTAAAATGGTCTAAAAAAGAAACCAATAGAACCACATGTTTTTTTCATGTGTATTTTCAAATGTAGACTCACCTCTAACTTGTTCACTATCTGGTCTTTTTTAAGTCTTTCCAGTGCTGCCCCCATGTGTTCAAATCTAAAAATGTGTTGGTGCCTCTCTGTCTATCTTAGTCCAACTGTGTGAAGATGCTCTTCACCAGGTTCATCTCACTAATACAAGATTGTTTCCTCTTTTTTTTCTTTAACTTCAATCTTAACTGTTCGTTCATATTCTTAAGAGCAGTCTGAAAACATTCTAATCTTCTTGTTGTTGTTGTTCAAGAAACCAGTTTGGGGTGCTTCAAGCTCTGTGTCATCATGTGTTGGGTTGCTGGAGGTAGTCGTTAGGAGGTGGGCCTGGTCACAATATTCTGGTAGGTTGTGGCCTTCCAGTGAGTCGTTTGGTTTGCTGTCTCAATATTATCTTGGTCCATTTTAGTGAACTTTGACCTTTGATATGGATTCAGAGAAGAGTATGTTCCCTTTTTTTAAAAAATACTTGGACCACCAACAACCTAAATCACTAAATGTACACACCATCTATCCTGCTTCCTGCTCGAGTCATCCAAGAAGCTGGTCTGCAGACGTTGCCATGGCAACAACATGTGTGCAGTCTGTCTTCTCTCCCTCTCCATGGTTCTCCTCCCCACCATCTCTCCTCTTTCTCTGCTGTCTTCACCCTCTCCCTGAGACACTGACTCCCAGGGGCTCTGACTAGACAAAAGCACGACATGCTAATGGTGCTAACATTAATGCAAATTGATGCTGTGAATTTACTGATCCGTGACTGATTCATTGCTTATCCACCTGGGTTTTGACAGTTGGCAATTAGCATGATTAGATTGGTATCTTATTGAGTAAATTCATTACACATACCATTAAATGTAACCATCAGCAACACTGTGATGTGTTATATAATATTTATTGATGTATTTGTTATTGCCATAACTTTGTGGAAGCAGCAGGGACATTCAAGGAGACGTGTTCTCTAAAGCCTAGCAGCAGTGTGTGATTTATACGAGGTAGTGTCTGCTTACTTTGAGGAGCTTATGTAAGTAATAAGCATTAAAGTAATAACTCTTTGACTTTGAGTGAATGCCAGCCTGCCTTCTCATAGAGGACGTCCTAAAATGATACCTTTTATAAAAGAAATAAAGAGAACTAAGATTAGGAGCACTGATGAGCTCTGGACTTTTTTCTTTCTCAAAAGAGGGCTTATAAATAACACCATAATATTCTGACTCATGATGAAATTTGGGTTAGATTTGTACAATAGCACTTTGTGTACCGCCCCTGTGACGTGCATTCAAATGCAAAACTCACAAAACAGACCCCAGTTCTACAGAGTCAAAACAATAAAGACCGTGTCACTCACTGCACTGTGTGTGTGTGTGTGTGTGTGTGTGTGTGTGTTTGCATCTGAGTGGGTGAGTAGGAGGGTCAAGGCCTCAGATGGAGGGGTGTGGTTGTTTCCCCCTTCACCCTACCAGTCATTACTCCTCCTCCTCCTCCTCCTCAGATCATGTCCTCACCTCCCTTTGTTCTTCTGTGGATATGAAGGCAGAGGTTGGATAAATAAACATGTATTTTAGTTGTAAGTCAATTAATCTGCAGTGAATAAAAGCTCAGTAAGAAGATGGTGGGGGGGGGGGGGCACGTCCTTTGCCTTCCCTCCCTCGCTGCT